CTCTCTCTCTCTCTCCCCCCCCTCTCTCCCTCTCTCCCTCTCTCTCTCTCTCTCTCTCCCTCTCTCCCTCCCTCCCAACAAACATGTTGTTTGTTGATTTATTGATGGCAGCCATTCTGGCAGATGTGTCTAAATATATTTTTTATACCTTTTTTTATTGTGGGAAAAAGTCCCACATACTTCCATGCTGTTTTCCATAGAGGCTACAGCATTTTACATTCCCATCAACAGTGCACAAGAGTTCTAATTTCTCCACATCCTTACCAAAGCTTGTTATTTTCTGGGTTTTTGACAGTGGCTAACCTAATGGATGTGAGGTGGTATCTCCATGGTTTTGGCTTGCATTTCCACGACGAGTAGTGATGTTGACAAGCACCTTCTCATGTGCTTGTTGGCCATTTGTATATCTTCTTTGAAGAAATATCTATTCAAGTCCTTTGACCATTTTGGAATTAGATTATTTTTGTTGTTGTTGTTAGGTTGTGCTTCTTCATATATTCTAAATATTAACCCCTTATCAAGTAGCTTGAAAATATTTCCTCCCATTTTGTAGGTTGCCTTTTTACTCTGTTGTTTCCTTTGCTGTGCATAGGTCTTTAAATCTAAGGTAGTCCCACTTTTTTTTTTTTTCTTTTGTTACCTATGTATCATATCCAAGAAAATATTGCCAAATCCAATGTAATGAATATTTTCCTAGGGGTTTTATAGTTTAAGTCTTATGTTTAGGTTTTTAATTCATTTCAAGTTAACTTTTACATATGCTGTAAGGCAAGGGTCCAGCTTCATTCTTTTGCATGTGAAAATCCAGTTCTCCCAATACCATCTGTTGAAGAGCCTATCCTTCCCCCAATATGTAGCCTTGCCACTCTTGTCAAAGATCATTTGACCATATATGTAAGGGTTTCTTTCTGGGCATTTTATTCTGTTCTACTCTATTCTACTCTGTTAGTCTATGTGTCTGTCTTTATGCCAGTACCTCACTGTTTTGATTACTGTGGCTTTGTGATATGTTTTAAAATCAGGAAGTATGTAACCTCTAGCTTTATTTTTCTTTCTCAGAATTCTTTTGGCTATTCAGGGTTCTTTGAGTTGCCATATGAATTTTAGGAATTTTTTTCCTATTTTTGTAAAAAATGCCATCAGGATTTCAACAGGGATTGCATCAAATCTGTAATTTATTTGGGGTAGTATAAATATTTTAGATTAGATCTTCCAATTCACTAGCATGGAATGTCTTTCTATTTATTTGTGTCTTCTTTAATTTCTTTCAGCAATGTTCTATAGTTTGCAGTGTATACAAATCTTGTTCCTCCTTGGTTAAATTTACTCTTAAGTATTTTATTCTTATTGTAAATAAGATTGTTTTCTTAGTTTCCTTCTTGAATTGTTCATTGTTAGTGTATAGAAATGCAACCATTTTTGAGTGTTGATTTTGTATCCTGCAACTTTGCTGAATTTATTAGTTCTAACAGTTGTGTGTATGTGGTGTGTGTGTTTGTCAGATCTTTAGAATTTTCTATATATAATGTCATGTTATCTATGAACAGACATAATTACACTTGGATGCCTTGTATTTCTTTTTTCTTGTCTAACTGCTCTGTCTAGAACCTCTAATACTATGTTGAACAGAAATGCCAAAAATGGGCACCCTTGCCTTGCTCCTGAGTTTCGAGGAAAAGCTTTCAGTTTTCAACAATGAACAGGTTATCTATGAGCTTTTCATATATTTCCTGTATTATGTTGAGGTAATTGCTTTCTTTTCCTAGTTTGTTGAGAGTTGTGTTTTTTAATCATGGAAGGGTGTTAAATTTTGTCAAATGTTTTTTCTGAATCTGTTGAGATGATCATGTGATTTTTGTCCTTCATTCTGTTAATGTGGTGCATTACACTGACTGATTTGGAGAAGAAATGGGGAAACCCAAGAGTTGGGCTTTAGATATTTTAGGCTAAAGGTGCCTGGAAGATAGCCAGGCAGAGATGTTTAGTGGGCAGCTGTACCTACAGATCCAGAGTTGTACAAACCATAATGCTAGTTAATTATGTACGTTCTCTATCTGCAAGTAGATTCACATAAGAAACCAAACCACATAACAATTAGAAAGTTTCACAAGAAGCATGGAACCCGAACAAGGGAAGGCACTAGGACAACCTATGAGGTCTTCTCCACCGAGGGCTACTGAAAGCCTTGGCATGTACTGCCTGGGATGGCCTTCGTCTAGTTTATATCTGGTCCTCCTTCCAAGAAACTTCCCCAGCTCCCAGTATAGGTTTCCCACTCCCACTTATACATTTTCATTACACTCTGCATTTTCATTTAAGCGCTTGTAATAATTTTAATTAAAAGATTTTGTATGTTCTGTTGTTTATTATTTTTCAGTTCCCTGAGAGCCAGAGCCATGCCTGTCTACTTACCACTTTATTCTCAATCTTGAGTGTACATAGTTCATAGTAGGCACTCAGATATTTGTGGAAGAGGGGGAAGGATAAGAGAGTATGATGACTGCAAGTCCACCATGGGAACAGCTTTCCAACAGCTTCTAGTCCCTTAGTCAAGATTCTCTTTCCCTTTGATGGTATCAGAAATGGGCACTGCCCAAGTCTGCCCTGCTTGCTCTCCTTTTCTGTGTATTTCCACTGTTGGCCAACCACTTTAATACTTGCTTTGGACATGCAACACCTTTGGTCAGGTTACAATTTAATCAGACTGGCCTAAGTGCCTTTCTGTCTGCTGAAGCAGCTTTGTATACCCCTCACCTGACCTATTTTATGGTCAATTAAATCTCAGGGAGTAGCCTTGCTTCCAAGTCCTTGGGATTTCTACACTGTCAAGCCCCTGTAATTGCCACACCATTACTCAGGGTTAATGGGAATGCTCCAGGATGCACCACAGTCATAGAAAAAATAAGACAACAATGTATGCATGTGGCTGATGCCTGTTCAGACTTCATACAAGCAGAAGCTAGAGATGGCATTCTTACATGCTTCAGCTATTTTCTCAAAATATGATATTAATTTTGATAATTAAAAACAAAATGAGCACTGGCCTGGGAGTCTGGGTGAGATCTAGATTGTTTTCATCCTGGCTCAGAAACTAATTCAGCTGTCAGCAAGTCTGATACAGTGCTGGCTTCTGTTAAACGAAGGAGTTGGAGTGGATGACCACTACAATCACTTCCAGTCTTGACATTATATTATCCAATCATTATTTTTCATCTAAGAACTTCTCAACTTAAGCATCTCAAAGGTCAATCCAGTTGCTGGCAATGACCACCACACACCCAGGAGCCTGGGAAAAGCATCTCTAAAGAAATCACAACGATAGCATAGGATTTTCATGATTACAAATGAAATCATTCAAGAGACAAGCAGATATCCTAGGGACCTGACACCAGCTAACACAGCAGATTCTGTGACACACAGACCTTCTCAACACTTGTTAATCTCAGGATGGAGGACTGAAACGCCAGGGAATCTGGCCACAACCCGCTCTAAGGGACCCTCTTCTTTTGATTTTCCCCAGTAAATTATTTTCCATATGTAAAATAGTCAATCATCTATACTAAGTGTTTCCATAAGCATATAACTTTTACAGTCTTTGCAAAAAGCACTCCTCTTCCCTGTTCTTGATATTGGGAACTCAACTTCCTGCACCTCTGCCCCTCAATGCACAGATCCATACATTGGATCTCTCAAACAGGCATTCAGCTATAGTACAAACTCATTATGAATCTGTTTATAACAAAAACTCCTCTGTTTTAATTAGCTAGTATGTTAAATTAAAAATCCTATTTCTGTTTAAACATTCTACAAACCTTCCTTAGAAATGGCCATCTCCGATGAGGCCCTTACCTGTTTGAAAGGAAACTACCAGAAAGAATAAACACAGCCCACTAAGGTTTGTATTCCACAGACATATTTCTTTCTATTGTAGCTACTCTGAACAGACTAAGCACAAAAGTGTGACTTCCAAAAGATCTCAAATAGGATATTTACAAAAACAAACAAACAAAACCCTGAGACTGTATCTGTAGATGGGATTGGGGGTGGTGTACTACTTGCCTTGAGTAGTAAGACTCCACCCCTAGGGCCTCCCGCACACTGGCGATGTGCTGCTCCAGGGCTGAGCTGGTGGCTATTGGAAGAGCTGCACTGCTGCCAGCCTGGAACTCACTGGTGTTTTCCATTGTGTTGTCACCCAGGTAGTGTTCATGAAACTTCAGAATTCCTGAAACAAGACAGGCATAGCCAATGTTATACAACTGAGGCTGGGGGAGGGAAAGGTGAAGGATGGGACAGCAATGCCAACTCTATGTAACCTCTTTGACAAGCATGCCTTCCTCCAAACCATGTGAAAAAATCCTGAAATCCAAGATCTCAAGAGGGTTTCAGAAGTTTAGACAGTACCCTTTTGGCAGCTTTCACCATCAGGTCTGGTGCTTGAAACCAGGGAATTCAAGACAGGGCTTTTGCTTTTGACAATATATTCAGAAGCCCCTAAAATGACTACTTCCTAGGTATTTCAAAACAGATACTTCTGAGAAGCACCAACTAGGGAAAGTTTTCTTTTAGGAACAGTACATGAGCATGCCAGCGCAGACTCCCCAGAAACTGAAATCCTAAATAAAAATATAACCAGCCAAGTGGAAATTGTGTTACTCAAAGACCTTGGATTTCACAAAAGCAAATCAAAATAAATATGCAGTACAAAGGCCAGATAAAAACATTTAAAACTATTTTTATATAAGACTAACTGGTCAATGGTCAATTTTTTGCTTAAAAAAGCAAAAAATGATGGCTGCATGAAACTGAGAGAATCCATAGTGGTTTTCTAGCAATAAACATAGGACATATTCTCAAATGGTAATGAGGTGTGTCAGCCCTGGAAAATGTTGGTCCTCTCTGATTTGATTAGAGCTCCAGTGAAAGCTTCAGAGTCTCATTAAGAGCAAAGAGGAACAGAAAGGGAAACAATAGGAGCCTCATTATACATGGCTCATTATTACAGGGATTTGGATACACCACCTGTCAAATCATGTCCCCAAAATGTAACAGCCACAGAGAGAAAGAGCTTGGTATCTCTGTTGTCAACCGTGTCCTCCTGGGTATTAGTGCCCTGCTGGGGGCTGGAATACACAGGGATTCATCCCACTGTGGATGACACTTGCCAAGTCACCATGAACATCACAGCTTAAAACCTTTAGCATAAAAAGGTCAGAGGTAAAAATGTTCTATATTGAAAGCCATAAAAAAAACATGGAATTAAGGGGAAAAGATTATAAACAATAATGCTGAGGCACAGAATGTACAAGCAGCAGTGCTTAGAACCCAAGAAGCATCTGAGAGTTGTCATTCAAACATCACTTTTTTAAATCAAAGAAATAGAAACATAATCAAGAAAACCTTATCAATTCTCCTGGCAGTTGAACTTTTTGAAATTGGCTTACAGATATTCAAGAAGCTCATTCTTCAAGATTCCCAATTAGAAGATTCACTTCCCCAGTCAATAAACTCTAATTGGATCTGGTGTGTCTCCAAGATGGTAAAGCCATCAGCATTTTATTATGCAAAAAATATGGCCCTAACAGCTAATTAGTGGTTCTGTATTTAGTGAAACTGTTACAGCCTGAACATTTAATGCCGATTTAATCAAAGGGGATTTTTATTTCTGAAATAGATTTACAATGGACAAAACTGGTTAAAATGGGTTCTGTTAAACTCAGAAATGTCAAGCATAAGATTTCATTTATATACTGTGAGAAGAGCTGCCATTATCATTTCAGTCTCTTTAACTTTACCATGACATAGGGTCAAAACCATTAAATCATATCTAGAAAGAACTCGTTAGGACTTACAGTCATCACTTTATTAGCTAATGAACAACAGCTGCCTAAAAACAGGACCGCTAGTGAAATTAATCCTCCTGCTCTTAGTCTTCCTTGATAAATGCTTCCACATTTGCCGGTGAGGAGCAACGATTTCTTGGGAGAACAAGAAAGCTGCACTGTCTTATTAATTGAATGCCCCACCACGGACTATCCACCATGGCTGAGATTTTGCTGAAAGCCCACATCAGCTTCTTAATCTGATCTACGGTAATGCACCTCTTCCACCTCTATTCATTAGACGTTCACAGTCTAGTGTATAATTGCCGTTCCTACAGAAAGAGATCTTACCTGCCCCAGGAGCAAGCAGCCAGCTATACAGGTAGCCTGCAGCCAGAGAATAGTAAAGCACTAGTCCCCTCTGGCCATTAACCATCTCTAAGATCTGATCGATAGTGACTGGAGAGTAGGGGTCAGAGTCCTGTTGTCCTGTTTGTCGTTCTACCAGAAGATCCGCAAATGCCCTCGTGCGTCCTCTTTCTGCCACAGCCAGGGCTTCATCATGATGGCCTACAAGACAAAAGGGACAGACAGAGGACTTCATGGGGAGTGTGCTTACTAACAGAGGGCCATCAGCTACAGAGGTCCTGGGCAGAAAACTCACTACCACTGCACTCCAATGTGTGGAAGTATCTCAAATTCAACCCCCTGCCTCAAATGATAGGTGTAGTGTCCACTCTTATAAAACTCCCAGGTAAGGCCACCCTAAGTCTTGGGCCTTCCCCTATCTTGAAGCCACACCACAAGAAAGCCAACTTTGTTTAGGGGATTCATCCTCAGCATCTGTTCCACATCCTGAGTTGCCTTCCGGCTTCCTGGCTTCTGACCGCATTCACTTGGCTCTTTGGACTCTGGTTACCCTCTTACTTCCCTGCTTGACTTTGATTCTAATTTGACATTGGCAGATGAGTCCTACAGGCCTTGGCTCTTGACTATCCTTCTCTCTCCTCAATGCAGCCCCCTACACTTTACATTGTTCAACCCCACTTCTTCATCCCCCCAAATTATATCTCTGTGCCTTTAAACATGCTGGTCCCTCTGCTAAGCATGTCCTTCCTCCTTTCATTGACCTTATCTCAAAAAGAGGGATCCTAATAGTTGTCCTGCCCATCTTAAAGGGCTACTGTAAAGATTAAAGAGGCACTAAATGTGAAGATGCCTGGTAGGCATTATTCAAAGCACCATATATAAAACAGGTGATTATTGTTAGAGCTGATACCTAACTCCATTCTGGGCTCCCACACACTTCTCTTCGCTCTTCTAATCCCCATGGGCAAAGAGTTTAAACCTCTGAGGTCTCTAGTTGTTTGAAATTGCTTCTCTCTTTTAAGTTTTTCCTCAGTCTTTCAATCCAACTCCTAATCCACTTTCTGTAAGAAACTAGTCTGTAATCTAATTTAAAAGCTAATGCACAAATATGAGAGCACAAAAATACAAAGCAACATACTTTCAAGTGAGAATTGTTTAGAGGTGCTGAAGGAACATGATGCAAAGGATTTGCTTGTGTCATAAGCATAACTACGTAAGAGTTGCTAGAACTAGGGTCCAAAGAGAGAACAGACAGAGGAAGGACACCAGATGCAATAGCTTTGATAGCACTTCAAGGATACCTCCTCGCCTCCTGCAGTTTGAGTATCAGTAGAAACTGGGGATTTATATGTGTATATGCAAATATCTCCTTTTACTCTATTAAGTTATTAACTGGAACAGCAGGAATGATTTCTGTGCACATTGGAAAATCCGCCCCAAAGAGTGAGACAGGCTAAACACTGTGATTATAATAGATATAAATTATAATCCCAGGCAATGAGTACATTTAGTACTTTTTCCAGGGGAAGTTTGAGTATTCATACACACACAGCAAAGGACAGGTTATTGACAAGACCTCAATATTCAACTTCAATGACATAGTTAGTTCTAATAAATACCTCCTCAACCCAAGTACTGGGTTGGGGGAAATGGTCTGCAGAGATGGACAGGTCTGTCTGAGAAGAGGCAGAGAACAGGACAGCCAGAAGAGGGTGGCTGAGACAGTTAAAGCGCAGGTGAGGGAAGGTGCATGCTGCTCCAGTGCAATGCAGCACACAGGCCTGGGAGAATTATCACTATGTCACAGTCTAGAGGGCAGACCCATATATTAAAAACATTTACTAGACAGGAACTAAAAGATGTGTGGGCACAGGAAATAAAGAACAGGCCAGGTGTCATCTCAGGTTCTTCCTATTAATGTTGAGAGGGAACCTGGGGGGAACACCTGATTCAGGCTTCCCTGTCTCTAGGACAGCTTCTGTGGTCCCTGGGGCTGCCTGCCAATCATCTTTCTTTCCATAGCACCTGAGTTCCTTTTATCCTAGCACCCATCACACCATACTGGTCTCACTGACTTTTGTCTCTCAATAGGCTAAGAGCTTCTTGAGGTCAGGAACCAGTCCTTCTTGACTTTAATCCCTAGGGCTAGCACACAGCATATAGTAGGTGCTCTGCAAAAATTTGTTGAGTAAATGAACAAATGTTCAATGGCTAAATTGTGGTTTCATAGTCTGTTGTAACAAATCATATTTCATCACAGCAATCGCTAAATGACTTAGATACATGAGTGCACACATGCAAAGTGGGAACCCCAGCTGCTCTCACCTAGGCTGACGAGCACCCGTTGCAAGGCCTGGTAGGATGACGTCTGTAGGTCAAAGAGGGAGAGTTTGTAGTCTGTGCTCAGCTGTGCCTCATGTCGGATTGTTTCAAACAAGGCCGATGCCCTATAGAGCTGCAAGTAGGGGACAAAGAACGTTATCCATTCCCCAGAAGCCACGCTCCAGGTATTCACTGACTAAAGACAACTTCTGCTCATATCTTGGTATACAACCTAAAAACAATTTTTAAAGGGTTGAAAGGATGTATTTTACTTCCAGATAGGTTCTAGTAGAAAGGCAGCAGATCATATACCTGGTAAACTATAGTTTATGTAATCAATTTTTGACAGATAAAGGGGTCTAAAAGACATGAGTTATAGACTTACAGTCTGAAAGTTGTAAAACAAAAAAAGCAGCTACTAATCCAACCAAGCGCTGATTTTGAATTTTAAAAAATGCCTCTCTTCTTGTCATCAAGCAACCATAATTCAGCACTCACACACCTCTCAGTGCCGAAGGATTGAAGTGAGAACAGGTGTGGTGCAGGCAGGCTGGGAATAGATGAGGCTGGGGGAAAATGAGATGAAGGAGTGCACTCTCAGGAGAGGGGTAGCTTTCTGTAGGCGGTTCAGCTAAGTCAAACACTGACTTCTGCAAGTGTCCCAGGGTCAGGTCTTTGCTGGACAAGCTTCCCTGGAGCCACACACACTCACAGGACACCTGCTCTAAAGGATTCTTTATCAGTGAGAGCACAAAACTTTTCTCTGATATTTATATGCTGAAAATACAGTATCAAATTTTAAGTTCATGCAAATTTAAAAAATAGAATGCTAAAACTAAGAGACTTAGATTAGGACAGAGGAATGTATTCCCAACTCTGCCACTGATTTGCTATGTGACTTCTGGTAAGATTCAGAGCCTCAGTTTCTTCTCTCTAAAGGGGACAGTTATCATTATACCTCACATGGTCACTTAAGGAATACATTCAGTAAGTGAAAAAGTATTTTGAAAATTATAAATCACTACATCAATACAAGCTTTAATTTTTAAATCTAGGAAATTGGAGAATTCTTTAAATTGCCTTAAATAGTTTAAAAAGTACAGTAAAATATCATAACATTTTAGGATGCTATGGCACAAATTCAGTCACATCATGTCCTCAATTCCTGTGAGCACCTCTGATAGGAGCCTTGATTCCTCATCCTTCCCCCCTCTGCCTAGCACAATGCCCTCCCCAGTCATCACTCATACACTGCCTAAGTGGTTAAATGCGTGATTTTAGATGATGCCATCTCACAGGTCCTCCAACCTGCCAGAGGAACCCATAACTCTAGGGATCTTTCCAATCTCCAGAGCAGCATGAGAGCAGGCTTCCGTTCAAGTATTTGTACATAGGCAGAAACGTGAAATCTGTGTATGTGTGTGTGTGTGTGTGTGTGTGTGTGTGTGTGAGAGAGAGAGAGAGAGAGAGAGAGAGAGAGAGAAGGAGGGAGACAGAGAGAGAGAGGTGGGGGGAGGTATCTATTGGTATAAATAGAAACCAGAAGGACATTAAATCCAATAATTATGAATTGTCAGATTACTTACTTCTGTCATAAAATGCATGTATATAATTTCATATTAAGGATTCATGAGGAACAGTAGCACATAATACCAAAGAAATTATCGAGAAACCCATCACACCACTGAGTGAGAATCTTTACTATGCTTTGACACTTCTGGGCTGCTACAGGCTACAAATCCTGTAAGTCAACCCAAGTGTAAAGGTCAGCACCTTCTGGCCAATGTCATTGCTATTAGGGTAGTAATCCCAAGGTCTCCCATGCTTCTGAAAAGAAAATCCACTTGGGGCAAGGGTTCTCCTACTCACCTGGTGTTGAGCTTCCTCCAGGTTCCCACTAGCCCAAAGGGAGAGGCCAAGACCATGGCGAATTTTGGCTTCATCTTCTCTTCGGCCCAGTTGCTCAGCTAACCTTAAACCTGAAATTAGATAGAGAAGTTTTAAGGATACACAGAAAATACACAATTCCACCTGCCAAGGAGTCCAGGAGGGTAATTCTGCATCAGGTGTAAATAAAATATGTTAACACAGCTAGATAAAGTGCAGGACAAGAATAGAATCAGCCAAAGCAGAGTAAGCATTCTCTTCAAATTCTGTGATGGTAGCAAACTTTCCAGGACACCCCAAGATGTCCGAGTAAGAGTTCAGGTGATGGCTATCAGAAGAAGACAGGTTTGCGTGGCAGGCAGAAACACTGAAACGAATGGAACCTAACCTGCCACCCTCCCAGATGTGAAATCCCTAGCTTTGCAAATGAAAACCCTTGGCCTATAAATTGATCTAACCCAATTCTTTTGCTGGCAAAAGCTTTTCCTGACAGTGCCATAGTCAAGCACAGAAGCCAAGCTGATGCATTTTCCTATTTCACGTGCACAGGATCCAATCAGTGTTGATGGGAGGACATATCTAATGTCCTCCCAAAAGTAGAATACTCACATACTCACACTGCCTAACACTGCCTATTACTTATGTTACTGACAAAATTCATGTCCAATCTGTTTTTCCGTTAAGGCTGAGACTCTGATGTGCCTCAGCGGGGTTGCAGAACAAGTGCTATTATGAGTCCAAAGTCTTAAATGAGACTGTCCTCATTCTAATGGGTTTCAGATAAACACCTGCAGTGTGGGTCACTTGCCTACAGTAAGCTTCTGAATTTCAGGACACCAGCAACCTCCAAGGCTTTGTGGGAGCCAAACAGGAGGGCAATCATTTATTGTATTGGCCACTAAGCAGTTCTCAGCATTACTTTGCCCTCATTACTTTGCTCTCTGTACACAGGCGTTAGCTTGTTCAGAAGTCAGCATGAAGGCTCCCGCACTGCAACTGTGCACACAAAGGAAGGACTTCCTTTTTCTAACCTAATTCAGGGTGGATGGGAGCCTGCCCCTGAGCATGCTGGGCCTGTGGAAGTTCAGACTTTTGAAAAGTAACTGAGTCAGTTGAGAGGCTAATAAAAGCAATACTCAGTGTCAAGCTCATAAGATATCATGCATTTCAAAATGCACATAACTCAGAAAATCTAGAAATAGCATTTTAAGTTTAAATCATGTCACTGGGTAACAAAAATAATACTTGCAAGTTATTCACATTTTAAAATACCTCACAGAATAGAAACGCGAATGAAAGAAGATGGTTCTTGGATGAAAACCAGGAGGATACTGGTTCTTTTAACCTTCAACAAGCCAACCATACTCACTCTTCAATACAGCTATCCCTGCCAGGTCTGGGTCTGTGAGTTGGAAGTAAAATTCATTGGGGTAGTCCCCCCCCTCCCCCCACCTCTGAGGTATGTTCTATGTAAGCTGGACTTTGCTTTGTTCCCTGCTCGGTCCTCACCATGTAGGGCACTCCCTGGCCCATAGTCAGCGGTTCAACAATGAAGACCTAAAAGCCCACTGGACAGGCATCATATCTGTTATGCCTCAGTTTCTATCTGCTTCTACCTCTTAGGAATCTGATCCACCCATCCAGCTCTCCTGGAGCTGGTCTGCTAGGAACTAGTTGCATGACTCTAGGCAAAGTCAATAAATTGTTCCAGGCTCCCTTTCTTCACTTGCAAAACCCAGTGGTTTTAACCAGGGGCATCTATGTAAGTCACCTGGAGAGCTTTTTCGAAAGACTCAGAACCAGGCTCCACCTGTGAGATTCTTCTGCAGTTGGGGCCAGGTGAGGCTGATCCATAGCCCCCTCTGAAAACCAAGAGAGAAAGCACTGAGGTGGTTTCCAACTAAACTGTTCCCTCATTGTAAGAGGGTACAGACCCAACTCAGAGAACTCTTCCAGGTGTCCTGCTTCTGTCACAGCTCATGAGAAGAGGTATCTTGCTTGACCCACAGGGCACCCAGGCGCTCTGGTGGAGCACATCCACAAAACAGACATCGTGGAGATGCCACAATAAAAATTTAGGTCTCTGCAAGACTTAAAACTACATGGAACAATAAAAATGAAATTGAGTTTCCCATAAATATAGAATTATGGTACAATGTCTCAGGCAAAGCAGCTGCTTTATGGAAACAATATTTCAGGAAGCACAAAAGAACACAGCTGAAAGGTTGTCATATGCTGGGTCTGAATTTAATCGTTTTCACAAATTCAACTGAAAATCGCCCCCAGTCTGTTGGAATTTTACCACAGTCAAGTTTCAGGAAACCAAAAGCCAATTCTCATATTTAATGCACTGAGGCAAGCTCCCATTGAATGGGAGCCAAATAAGGTCTGGGAAGTGGCTCTCAGCCTCTCAGTAACCTCTCAGCCTGCAGGCCAGAGCAGTCCCTGGTCTGTGCAAAGAAACGTCAGCCTCTGGCCCATTTTCCACACTGCTTCCTGCTTCCTTCTCTGCTGCCTTCCCAGCTGGGGCTCAGCAGGAATACAGAATATGACTGCCCCAACCCTGCTGTGTTCTTGGGAGGTTAGGAGCAACTCCACACAGGGTCTTACATGGTTCCTGGGGTCAGAAAACCTGGGCTGAGCCCCACTCCACCACTGACTGACTGCGTGGTCAGGATCCAGTCATTGTACTCTCTGAGTCTCAGGTTACTTAGCTGCAAATGGGAATAAAAACCTCTCAAGGTTACTGTGAGAATTAAATCCAATTAAATAAAATGTATATGTAAAAACCCTTGGAAACTATAAATGAGAGCTTTTGCATGAAATCAACAACAATTTCATTTTACTAGTGAGCAGAGAATATTATACCTGCCATTTTCCCTTCCCAGGATGAGAGGATGCAATGTGCCTCTGAGAGAAGAGCTTTCCTTTCCAGAGCAGAAGTGAAAAGAGGTGAAGGGTAAACAGACTGTTACGGGACTTCTGCTTCATGAGGAAGGAAGCCTCCAAGGACTGACTGCTCAGATAACTGCATGGAACCTGACATTGGAAGGAAAGGGGGAGAGCCTGGAAGAGGGGAGGGGGCAGAGATGAGGAACAGCAGCAGCAGCCACTTTCTGGGCCTGCCTGGAACAAGACTACTGTGCCACCATCCCAAGCATTGAAGGTAATACGCTCTGGGGAGGAAGTCCAGTCAACTGCTTGAGTGACCCTCAGACTGATGCTTCAGGATTAGACCTCAGCTGCTACATCAAAATTGACTTCTATATAGTTGTGTTGTATTTTAGGAATTTTCTAGAGGGACAATAGGGTTTGAAATAGATGGGCGTTTTCCTCTGATTCCAACCCTTAAATTTTACATGGTCAGATCTTATTTGATCCACCTTGGGAGAATGTGTTCACACAGTAGAGGGCTCTGAAAAGCAAGGAGGGTATCTGCTACTGGGCAGCTGGTTGGCAGAGTGAGACAAGCTGGGTAATGCACTCTGGACATTAGAACACCTCTGTAATATTAAGGAACACCCGGGGGGGGGGGGCACACCATGGTTTTGGAGTAAAACGAAAGTGGCTTCTGAGATTCTCACTGCAAGCTGAGGTAGCTACTCAGATGGTGTATTCTTCCTTCTGAGTAGGCTCTGAACTCCATCTCAGAGTGGACCCAGAGACCACAACGGGATCTGCACTTACCTTCCTGTAAATACATGACTGCCTGGGAATAGTTCTGCAAAGCATGATGGGTCCTTCCGAGGCTACTATATGACACTGTCTTGGCCACCAAGTCGTTCATCTGGGCAGCGATGCTCAAGTGCTGTTCTTGATAGACCACGGCCCTCTCGAAGGTGCCCAGAGATTCGTACGTCAGACCCAGGTTCCCATAGGCTCGGCCCTGGCATGTGGGGTTGTTGGTTTCCTCTGCAATCTGCAGATCAAGCTGGTGGTACTGCAGGGCTGTATCATATTCCCCCATCTGCTGGTAAACACCCCCCAGGCCACAGGCTGCGTCACTTTCCAGAGCTCGGTCTTTCATCTCCCTAGCAATGTTCAGCTGGCGTTCAAGGCAGGAAATGGCTTGTTCGTAATTCCCTAATTGGCTGTGCAGACTGCCCAGTTCTCCATAGGCCTGGGCTTTATTAAAGGCCTCCCCAAGCTCATGGGCGACCACGAGCCTCTTTTCAAAGCACACAAGCGCTTGCTGCAAGCTCCCCATTGCCCTGTGGGGATGTAGACAGAAAAGCAATGATATTATTTTGTGCAGGTGCAGACATACTAAAGCCCCTGAGAAAATGAAAAGCATTTGTCACTGTCACTTACTATAGAAGCTCTTAACTCCTATTCTAGCTAAAATCTATCATGTGCCCTTAGAGTGAGATGCAGGGGAATTTCATAATCTGGAAAGCAATTCAAAAGTCATCCCTTAGTGACCTTCCCAAGAGCTTGAGATTCAATGGGATATACACCCCAGAGGAAACATAAAATATATTAATAGGCACAATGATAGCAAGTGAACTGTTTGGTTCTTTGGGCCTCCCAATTTCCACTACCGCTTAGACTATGTTTTTGAAATCACTTTACAACGCCTATAAATCTTTCACCCTGAGTTCCTCAGAGCTCTCTGTGGGTGATGATTTAGTTTGACCCTTGCCCTTCCTCCACTCCAGGAGTCCTAATCCCCTGCCTATCTGGAAAGGCCGTATATTTTGCAGACACAGACACCTTCTTGGGCTCCCCACATTCAGAAGGAAAAGCATCACCTTTGCCAACAGTGTGTCTCTTTGTGCTACTAAGAGATGACATGATAAGACTGGGAAGAGCAGATTTTGGCGGCAGACCAAACCAGTTGTGTGGAGGCACGTGAATTCCTTTTCCTGAGTCTCAGTTTCTAAATGATAATAAATCCCACATCCCATAGCAGATGATAATACATGTAGAGTGATACAGTATTGCTATAAATATTAAGCAAGATATCTATGCAAGGTACCTAGCATCATGATAGTATATGTTTATTCACTCCTGCCACTATCAGGTGGCTTTCCCTAAAAGCAAAAAAAAACGGGGACCAAATAATTGGTGGGTACAGATGATGTATTAAAAAATACATTCACATAACATGAGAGGCACTCAAAAAAAGATCAGTTAAATTGATTCATTCATCTTTCCCACTCTTATTATTTATCTTGCTCATTACGATGTAGTCGAAAAGGCAATGCAGCTGGAGTCAGAGAGCCCTGGGTTTGATTCTCAGCTATTGCTTTTAAACCATGTAATCTTGGAGATAAACCTAACCTCTCTGGGCCTTAGTTTCCTCCTCCATAACATAAGGGTAATACTATCCCCTGCTAAATTCACAGAATCATTGGAAGAACCAAATGAGATATGTACGAAAATGTTTTGTAGCTAATAAAACACATACAGACATTAAGTTGCCATTACTGTCACAACTGCTCTTTGTGCAGGTTTACCAACCACACGTGTCTCTGTCACTTTTACCTGTGTCCATTTCCTAGGCCCCGGTAAGCCTTGGCTTGGTCTTGCATGCGATTCAGACTCTGGGCAACAGACAAATATTGTTCATAGTACTTGATAGCTTCCTCATAGTCACCCAGAGCCTCGTAGCAATCCCCCAGGTTGCCGTAGGCCCGGCCCCTGTCGAGCACAGACTCATTTCCACTTAGCTGCTGCAGCATGGCCAACTGCTGCTCGAAGTAGCCGATGGCTTCTTCCATCACATTCATGTTCATCTTTGTGATGCCCATGTTGCCATAGACCTGGGCTTCTAGACTTGGATCCTTCAGCTTCTGCCCTAGATCCAGCTGTTCTTCATAACATTTGAATGCCATTGTGTATTTTCCAAGGGCCATGTAGACAGCAGCCAGGTGTCCGTGAGCTCTACACTCCCCCGGCAAGTCGCTCAGCTCCTGATATACTTCCAGTTCCTGCGTGTGATAACCCAAGGCCTTGTCATATTTCTGGATCATTCGGTATGCAGTGCCCAAGGCTGCATATGCACTGGCCTCCAGTCTTCTGTCCTTTACATGGTGAGCTAAGCCCAGCTGCTGCTCATAGAATTTTATTGCACCATTTATATCTTTTTTACAGATGAATATATCGCCCAGGTTACCTAGGGCTCGGAATTTAGCCTGGGAATTATTCAGGGACTGAGCTAGGGACAGCAGGTACTTCTGACACTCTTCAGCTTTGCTGAAGTTCAGCAGAGCCTTGAATGCGAGGCCCAAGTTGCAGTAGGCTTTTGCTTGGCTCAATTTGTCATGAAGGTCTTTGGCCAGTGCCAGATCCTGCTCATAGTACTTCACCGCCTCCTGGTAATTTCCAAGGCAGTAATGGGCATAGCCAAGATTGTGGCAGACTTTCCCTTCTCCTTCCATGTCTTGAAGGTCTGGAGAAAGCCGGAGGTACTGTTCATAATAGGGGGCAGCTTGGACGTACTCCCCCCGAGAGCAGTGGAAGTTGCCCAGGTTGCTGAGGGCCCGGGCTTCGCTCTGGATGTCACGCAGCTCACGAGCAATGTTCAGATGGTTCTGATAGTGCTGCAGGGCCCGGTCGTGGGCACCCAGGGCCTGGTAGGCGACAGCAAGGTTCCCATGTGTGGATGCCTGCGAGGCACGGTCATTCACTTCCATGGAGATCTGGAGCTCCTGCCGGTGGTACTTGACTGCCTGGTCATACATGCCCAGAGCATTGTAGGCATTGCCCATATTCCCGTAGGCACGGCCCTGCGCAGCATAATCACTCAGCTCCTGGGCGATACACAGGTGGGTCTTGTGGAGTTTCAGTGCGGTATCATAATCACCTTTCATCTGGTGTATAATTCCTGAGAAAAAGAATTAAAGGAACAGAAAAAGGTTGGAATAACTGATTAGCAATTTGGACAAAAAATGTAATTTGCAATTTAATTTATACTCAAATACATTCCAGATGAATTAAAGACTTTAAAATAACAGAAGGTAGAATTAAATATTTATTAGGTCTCCAGGGGGAGGATAGCTTTCTATGCTTCAAAGCAACAACAACAAAAGCACTGACAGATTTGATTATAAAAATAAGATGTTTTCCACTACAAATATATATCTAAAATTAAAAGGCAAACATAATACTGGAAAATATATAAAACATACTAAAAATTCAATAGCTATTGTGTGTAAAGATTTTACTTGATTTTTTAAAAATCAAGAATTAAATTTACTGAAATAGGTAAAGCACTGCTGGAGCGGACAACTCACATCCAAGGAAATCCAAAAAGCACCCAGAGGGAAAAATGCTAATTTCTTTTAATAATCAAAGAAATGCAAAATAAAGCAATCAAGAAGTACCATTTTACTTTTACTAAATTAGCAAACAAAAAATTTAAACAACATCCTATACTGATGAGGTTGCCCTGAAACTGGTAAACACATCAACTGCTGGACACAAATTGGCACAGCCTTTGAAGCAGCAGCATGGCAAAAACCACAAACACAGTCCTACTCAGACACTGCAATGCGCTCATGGGAGTGCGGCATTCTAAGGAAATCATTCGACAAATACAGAAGCTATATGCACAACAATGTTTACTGCCACAGTACAGGTTAGTGGAAAATCAGAAACATCTTAAATGGCAAACAATAGGGACACATATCAATTCAAAAGAGGATTATGCAGTCATTAAAAAGATAATTATGAAGTCTATGCAGAAAAATGGGGGGAAGAGGTTCTTACAATAAAAGTGGAAAAGGCAGAAAACAATGCTGCGTACTCCCTGTGATGACTAGGGGGAAAAATGTACACACGTAGACAAGACTTTGAGGGGATTATGCAAAAATAGAAATAGCTGCCTTGTTAGGTGATGGGATTTGAATGATTTTTGTTCCAAAATTTCTTGTAATTATGCTATATAGCTTTTACTGTCAACAATAATAGCACTTCAAACAACCCTCATAAACTATGCTATAAGCTGCTAAGCTAAGCTATTGTTTTCACAAGCAATTCAAATGAGATATATCATAAATATCAAGTAGTTCCAAATAAGGGACATTATAAAAGTAACTTCGGAGATGCCTTTAAGGTGAGCCTGGTTCATCCCAGTTGGGGCTGAAGTGGGGACACTGGTAAAGCTAAAGGGAATCTAGTATGCAAACATGTTTCTCCTTGCCCCTGGTTTTAAACATGCTTTTCCATGTATGAAAATGTGAGCTTTGCAGTGTTGACAAAAACCTGCAGAAGTAAAAACTCAAAGACACCAAGATGGGTTCTTATTAAAATATCTGAACTGAAAATAGAGGCACTGAGAAAGAAAGCTGTCAAAGTCTAGCTCCACAATTTGCTTTTCTCTGACACCTTTCATCAGTTTGTTTGTTCATTTGTTCATTCACTTGTTCATTTATTCATTCATTCACTTGCACACTGACCCAGGAAACATTAACTGAGTATTGTATACTAATATTGTGGTGGGCAGCAGGGGTAGAGAAAGAAATGAGGGAGACAATCATGAAATAAGTCAGTACACATAATAAATGCTGAAGTGAGCTGGGGACACAGCATGTCAGGGCCACTCTTCTGGTCCCCACTTCCTCTCTGCTATGGAGGTCTGCCCTGCCACAGGAGTTGTGCCTATCTCTGGGCCCAGCCATCTCTTTGACATTAACTATACTTAGGGTACTGGATAAGTCATTTAGCCTCTCTGAGCTTTAAGGTTCATCTATAAAATGAGGAAAATAATAATCATGATACCGACCTTACAGGGTGGTAGTGAAGATCAAATGAAATAATGTATGTGCAAATGTATTGTAAACTATAAAGTGAAATTCAAATATTAGCTACTGGAATTACTAGATGCTTCCAGGAAAAGGAATTCTGGAAGTGGTAGAGATTAAATAAACTATGGGAATTCTTCTGTGTATTTGCTTGAATCAAATATTTCATAATTTAAAAATAACTAAGAAATCATGGTACTCTATGCAATGTAATAAATGGTACCATTAAAAATGGTAAAGCAGAAGTTTACATATTGACATGGGAAAAAATACTATATATGAATGGGATATATGGTCACAAACAGTATGTTTTAATAAAAGTATTAACAGGATGTACTGAGACCTTCAGAGAAGGCAATCAAAGGAAGCTTGGGGTTTTTGCATGCTCCCTACCACCAAAGACACAGGTCTCCTTGCTAGCCCCCCACTCTCCCCACTTGTACCCCATCATCCAGGAAGCTGGCTAAGTATCTAGAAGGCACACTATAATGTATATATTTACACTTATACACACATACAACATAAAATTTATTTAAGTGTTTTGAGTGATGGAATGGCAGTTTTCTTCTTTTTGATTATTTGTATTGCAAGTGTTTTTTTCTACAATGAATGCATAAACCTTGGTTTAAAAATTATTGAAAGTATTTTTGAAACTCTGATCCAAAAAGAGGAGTAATATTCCTGGGGATTGGGTCCAGCCACTCCCCTGGGTTGGAAATGTCACCAGCATCCTAGCTGGAAGGATAAGGATTTTTCAGAACCTGTCTCAAGGTTAGAAACTCTGAGCTGCTCGAGAGGCAGTACCGTAGTAGCATGACCTGGAACCCCTTTTAGTGGCGAAAACTTATTAGTGATGAGAATGTTTCAGCTCTAAAGACCTGCACTTGGCCTGTACCCTTAAAATGCTTTTATCTAAAGAGAAAACATTTTTATTTCAAATTTCCAGATATCCTTAGAGAAAATGAATCATTTTACTCCCTCTCTCCTCAGCTTCTGCATTTCTGAAGTGAGGGTCAAACTACCTGCCTCGCCATGAACCCATAGTTATGGATAGAGCCAGAGCTGGGGAGGGCAGTAGCAGTGCCCACATTTCCCTCTGAGCACTCTCTCTCCCAACGATGTCTCTGCATTGACACCCCCCCACACACACGCACACACACACACAGCTTTTGGATTTCACTGTAATGATTTTTAAGCAAATATGATCACTAGTTGGTTGCTGGGAGGTGTTGAGACCTTCAGAGAAGGCAAAGGAAGCTTGGGTTTCTTGCCTGCTCCCTACCACCAAAGACACAGGTCTCCTTGCTGGCCCCCACTCTCCCTACTTGTACCCCATCATCCAGGAAGCTAAGTATCTAGAAGGCACGCTAGAATGGAAAAGGACAGAACTTCAGTGAGAAGGCCTGTTTTACAAGCCTGGCTCTCACCTCATTTAGCTGAGCATCTTTGAGGCAGACACTTTATGTCTCTGGGCCTTTCTTCCTTTTTTAAATGGAAAACTTTTTGGTGTTTTTTGCCTTCTTATTAATAAGGCCAGGTTATAATCATCTCAAAGAAATGGTATGAGAAACATAACAGTACATATCAATAATCTGTGTAAACTATAGCATGCTCTCTAAACATGGTATGAGCAGTATCTAGAGACTGAGAGAAAGGAAAAGAAATGCTGTCTCTTACTCTCATGGCCTTAAGTCTGGCCTGATTAATAGGGAGCAGTTGGAATGATCATCGCTACCCAGGGTTCAATGATTTGTGAAAGAAACTGCCTGCTGGTTATGGCAAAATGATCCCCCCCCCCCCC